AGAAGGCGTCGTGGTACTAGGGATATCGTTGCTGATGTTAGATGGATCTTGGCTGAAAGCAGGGAATACCAGAAGAATGTCTATCTGTGTTTCGTTGATTATGTAAAGGCATTTGACTGTGTGGATCATAACAAACTGTGGCTGACTCTGAGAAAAATGGGAATCCCAGAACATTTAATTTTGCTAATACGAAACATATAAGATAGAAAACTAAATTCTGTTAGCTTGTTTTTACTTCTCCTAAAAGAGACAATCGTTGATGAGAATAATACTCTGATGTTTGTGAAATGTTTTTTCAAGTTAGTATTAGGTCTGTAGTGGGCCCCTCGGGAGATCTGATAATTTAGTGGTAAAGAGGTATGCTGCCAAGCCCAGGAGGAAGGTGAGCAGTCTCCTCCCTGTGACTCATTGCCTCAAAATACCCACTGGAGGCTCAGCTAGAAGTCAGTTGCAACTTGAGGGTCCACAGTGGTGAACCCCTAGTGGCATAGGACATTCTGTGTTCGGCTGCTCACCAAAGGGTAGCTCACCAGACACTTTCCAGGAAGAAGGTGAACAGTCTCCACTGTCAGGGTTTATAGTCTTGGAAACCTACCAGGAGAGTGTGAGTCAGAAAGAACTCAATAGTAGTGGGTTGGTATGGCTATAATTCTGTTACATTTGCAGTGAGCAAATTAGAGTCTTAGGTGAAAAAATACTGATTATATTTACCACATTTTGTTGATATTATTGCTTTATGGAGCTCTGGTGACCTATTAGTAAGGAGCGGTGCTGCTTACTCAAAGGCAGTGGTTCAGATACCCCATCTGCTCTGCAGGAGAAATATGGACAGTCCTCTTCCATGCATTAATCCAGTTAATTGCCTCTGGTTGGTTCCAGCTTGACAGTATATAACAATAACAATGCCTTTACATGTTGTTGTTGTTAAGTGCTATCAAGTTAGACGACTCATAGCAACCCTATGAATGAAAAGGCCTGAGCACTTGTATAACTTACATCTTTTCTCCAAGTTCATAGAGTCCTGCTTCCAAGCTTGTTTTAATTGGGGAGCTTCACCACTGTCCACCATGGGTAACCATTATCACATTAAACACATCAGTGTCACAGTAGTTAGCATCACAGCAACAAGTTACATCTGTACAGTAAACAGACAGACCAGTGCTATACCACTTAGAAGAATGCTTGACCAAAAAACAGTTAAAACTAGGCCTGAGGGCTGCAGATTAAAATCACCTACCTTTGACTTGGTAGCATAACTTTCTGTCCCCCAGGCCCACAGAACTCTCTCTGTGTTTTTGGTTTTGTTGTTAAGTGCTTTCAAGTTATAGGTGACTTGTAGAGACCCTATGAAGGAAAGACCTGAACATTTGTATAACTTACATTGTTTCTCCAAGTTCATAGTTTCTGGAGATGCCTTTACATAGTCAATTAAAAAAACAGTGCCTCCAGGGTCACCATTTTGAATAATATTGCATGAGTTCCTTGTTTTTCAATGCAGCATAATATTCCATTGTGTGAATATACCACAGCTTCTCTATACATTGTTTGTTGATGGGCACTTAACATTGTTTCCAACTCCTTGCTATTGTGAACAAAGCCTCGATAAACATGGGTGTGCATATATCTGCTTGGGTGGCAGTTATGGTCTCTGGGGTATTTCCCTGTAGTGGAATTGCTGGGTCAAATGGTATTTCTATTTGCAACTTTTTGAGAAAGTGCCACACTGCCTTCCACAGTGGTTGCACTCCCACCAACAGTGAATAAGGGTTCAGTTTCTCCACAACCTCACCAGCATTTGATGTTTGCTGTTCTGTTAAATTTTGCTATTCTTTCTGGAGTGAGATGATATAGTTGTTAGAATATGCCTCTCTCTTAGAGCTAGGGATTTTGAACATTTCTTCATGTGCTTGTTGGCCTTCTGAATGTCTTCTTTGGTGAAGTGTCTGTTCATATCCTGTGCCCATTTTTCAATTGGATTATTTGCCTTTATCTTGTTGTGGTGCTCAAGTATTTTATAAATTCTAGATAATAAGTCCCTTATCTGACATGTCATCACCAAGTACTTTTCCCAGTCTGTGGCTTCCCCTTTTACCCTGTTGGAGAAGTTTTTGGATGTGCATAGGGATTTGATTCTTAGAAGGTCCAGTTCATCTATTTTATCTTCCCCTTGGTTGTAGATTTTTCAGGATACTTGGAGGACATTATGCTGAGTGAAATATTTCAGTCACAAAAAAAACTCATACTGCATGGTGCCACTGTTGTAGAATGGGACTGATAACAGGGTTGGTGTAAGACTGAGAAAAACTGGATAAATTATGTGTACTGCATTGAAACAGATGAGGGAGAGAACAGTTTAGAAGTGATACATGATAGAGTATTATGGTTATCACAAGAGTCCAGAATGGAAGTTGCGTAGTACTGGGGGTGGGGTGGGGATTGTATATCAATGAAGGAATTTTTTCTTCTACTTTTCAAAGATAAGACTGAACTGGGGACAGGGGTGGGCAGGGAGAAAAGTGCAACAATGAATGAATGGAAATCCAAAATCTCTGTAAATGTTCATGAAAATTAATAAAATAATTAAAAAATATATAATTTTTTTAAAAAAAGAACAAACAACAGAACAGTGCCTCAAAACTCATTGCAGTCAAATTACAACTGGCCCTCTAGCATAATTTTGGAGACTGTAAATTACATAGAAAGAGATTGCTCATTCTTCTCCCAGTGAGTCACTGGTGGATTTGAACCACTTAAAAGAGCCCCACCTGGAAGTCAGCAGCATAGCTTCCTGTGATCGGTACCACCAGAGATAATCCTGTAGTCTCATTGTTTAAATATTCAAACCAAGATTTAAAGGGGAAAAAACTATATATATACACACACACACATACATATATACATACATACATATGGAAATGTTATTGTAGTTGTTGTTATGCGCCATCGAGTCGCTTGCAGCTCATTGCGACCCTATGTAAAACAGTCCTAAACCCTCCTCTATCCCTTCTTACTGTCTCCCATATCCCTATCCCCATTACCCCAGTGATGGAATCAATGCATCTCATCGAGGATCTTCTCTCCACCTTTCCAAGCATGACATCCCTCTCCAAGGACTGGTCCCTCCTTGCAACATGTCCAAAGTATATCAGAAGCTTCCAAATCCTTGCCTCCAAGGAGCAACCTGGCTTCACCCTCTCTATTTGTTTCTTCTCCTGGCAGTCCATGGTATATTCAGTACTCTTCTCCAGTAAAAAAGCTCAAAGGCACCAACTCTCCTATCATCCCTAGTCATTGTCCAGCTAGCTCTCTGATACATAGCAAGTAATGGCAAAGACCATGGTCTGGATCACACACACCTTAGTCTCCAGACCGACATCATTGCTCCTCTCAGTATGTTGGAGAGTCACTCTGACAGCAGACTTTCCCAGTGCAGTTTGTCTTTTAATTTCCATGCAGTGTTGATTGTAGAGGCAAGCAAACTAATGCTGTCAACAATCTCTATCTCTTCACCATCTATCGTGATGCTGCCAATCAGCCCAGTGGTGATAGGAAAGAAAAAATTATTTTGAAAGAATTTTAAAGTCTAAATGAAATGAGAGTGCTCTCTGGTAGTTTAGTAGTAAGGAGTTGCACTGCTGTAACAAAGGTGGTTCAAATCCACCAGCTGCTCGATGAGAGAAAGATGGCCGTCTCCTCCCACGCTATTTACTGCCTGTGAAAATTCACTGGAGGTTCAGCCGTGAGTGGGTCCTGGCTCTAAGGCACATAATTACTGCTGGAGTTTGCTTTATAGTTCTTAGTCTGTTTTGTTTTGTTTTATTTTGTGGGTTTTTGCTATTTCTAAACACCTTCACTCACTCTTTACATGTCATGCTTTACTAGTACTCTTATTTTTGTTTCTAGGTTCGCCAAGCAGCTTTTCAGTCTCTGGGGCCTTTCATATCTACTTTTGCTAACCCCTCTAACTCAGGCCAGTATTTTAAAGAAGAAAGCAAAAGTACAGAAGATAGCTTATCAATAGAAGGCAAAAACAGGTAACATTTTAAACATTTCTTTCTTTCTGATTTTACTGCTTATTGCCTTTTTCTTTTCATTTCTATCATTTAAAAATATTACCCTTTGTAATTTATTCTTTTTCTTGAGTGTAAAAACTGGTAGATACTCTTAACAATTTTCATTTAAGCATACTTGATTACTGATGTCTCTTAGATCAGTTACTTCTGAAAATTTTTTTAAAGTTATTTAGCTAGTGAACAATCTCTTGATATTTAGAATATACAAGATAATGCCTTTACAATGTAAATGTGTTGGGTCTTTTTGTAATTTGTTTATAAGGCATAATAATTAAGAAATAGTAATGTGTTTTAGTATATTTTAGTACATTTCTGCCATTTTTCCTTTTCGTAAGTTAATATAATTATAGATCTTAAGGTATATCTGTAGAACAATTGTAATCTCTTAACTGAGGGGAAAGTATTTTAATAACAAATATCATATTTTAATGCTTATTAATGAAAATTCCAGTTTTAAATATTCATCTAATTTTGTACCTAGAATTTTAAATTATGCTTAACAATGGCTTTTAAATTTTTTTAGTATAATTTTTGTTTCTAAAATTTGTTATAATACTTAGGAAAAATTACTCAAGCCTCATGCGGCAGGAAATGAACACACTTTTTGGTCATGCATCTAGAATGACTTGGTGCATGTGTGTAAATGTCACTTTGCAAATGCTTGCGCTCCCATACTTTGTTGTCCTCTCTGCTGTCTTTCACTGCTAATGGAAATTTTCTTCTGTAGGTCTTGTTACTGTGGTATTTGCTTTCTTGGGGTTTTCATTTGGCAATTCTTCCTTTCTTCTTTACTGCCTTGTTTTACCTTTTTGCCTGGTCTCCTACTATTCTGCTAAATAGCCAAACAAACCTAAGGCACTGTTTTTAAAAGGAAGAAAAAGAATTCTAAGCGTGTCTTCCTCACAAGCAAACTGTGTCAGTTCTTTTGAAAACAGCTATTATGAGGAGTTTGACAAAAATGATGGAGAGAGAGGGTTTGTTTTAATTTTTTCAATTACTGTGTCTTTTTTTTTTACTGTATTTAAATGTACTGAAGATTAGTAGTTTATTTTTAAATCTGGAAGGATCTGGTAAGAAAATAAACATTTATAAAGAATTGTATAAAATCACTGTACTTTTTTTTTTTACTGTACTTTTTTTAAAGGGCCAGATGATGTTTGTAGCTTATGGCCATAAGGGTTCTACTACAACTGCTTCTCTCCCTTTGACACACAGCAGCAACTGCAGAGAACACACAATAAATGGACTTGGCTGTGGACCAAAATGTTTGGTGGGGCACTTTAGGCATTATTGTGAGGGCTATTTAAAGGCAATTACTTTGTTGCTAACAATGTCAATTCCTCTTCCATTGTACTTAGTTATTAAGTATAATAACAGGTCAAATTTGCTGCATTGGATTTTCACTGTGTCACTGGACATTATCCTATGTGTGCTAAAGTTGCTAAAGCATTCCTATAATTCAGTTTCCTGTCTTTGAAAAGAATAATCTTTTCTTATACTAAATTTCTTACTAAATTCTTATGTGCCCTCCCTTAGAAACAGAACTATTTTGTCTTTAGTTGCATATTTATTTTAAGGTTGATTTGTTTATAATGCACAATTAAGCATATACTATGAACAAGATAGTGTAGATAAAATTTGATTCCTGTTCTTTATTGATTATAAACCCTGAGTGTGTACCAAATTATCTTTCACTCATCCTGAACTGGCTGTTATTGAGTCTGTGAAAGAATCATAAAGGCTAGCTGAAAATCACTGTTCTTTTTTGTTTCTGTTGTTACTGTTAGATGCCATTGAGTTGGCTATGACTCAGCAGAGTGAAACCCTGCCTGATTCTGTACCAGGTTGCAGCCAACATATAAATGAATCTCATTTTTGTGTTCTGTCAAACAATATCCTGTCCTGTGCCCTGAGTTCGTCCTTTGGTTTGGTTTGCCCTGCTCTTGTGCTTGCTGCTTTTCTGCTTAGTGACTTTCTTATTCCAGCCATTCCCTCACTTAACTAAATGAATGTCTGACTTAGACTCACTACCTGTAAGAAATGTTTCCCCACATTTCCAGGTAATAGAGAGCTTCTGTGTGTCATTGTTCATAACACTGAGATTAGGCTGAAAAGGAACTGGTGGTACAGTGGTTAAAATGTTTGGCTGCTGACTAGAGTCAGCTGTCCAAACCCACCAGCCACTCTTCAGGAGAAAAATTATGCTCAAAGCAGGGATTATTTGCTAGTTCAGGTAAACTGTTAGTTGGTTTTAAGAAGATTTAAGAGATACTTCTGGCTTACACATTAAAAATTATGTTGGGACAATAATTTTAGGGGTTCATCTCATCTCCTTAGCTCTAGAAAGTCAAGAATCCATGAGAATTTTAAATTCTTTTTTTGCATTTACTCCCTTTTGATTAAGATTTCCTGTAGAGTGTGGTCAAAATATTCAGTAATGATAGTCATTCTTTGGTAGTAATTCTTTTTTGTTAAAGGCAAAAAACAGTTGCTCAGAAAGACATCCATACCCTCCTTCTGTTCCTGACTCCTTTCTTTATTGCTCCATGCAAATAGATACCAATCTGGTAGTGTAGTGGATAAGGCCACCAGATTGGTCTGTTTGCCAGCCTAACAGCCCACGATTAGAATCCACCAACTATTTCAAGGGAGACAGATGGGCAGTAATATCCTCTCATAAATTTATAGCCTCTGACAACTTAGAGGGTAAGCAGTGAGTCATTTCTCACTCTACAGGAGTAAGTGGTTAAAGTGCCTTGGATGGCTGCTTGCAAGAATAAGACCCCCCCACCCACTAAACAACAAATTAAAAGATAGAATAGAGCATTGAACATTTCTGAGCCAGTTAACTGGAAGCTCTGAAGGCCTAGTGGTAGGGATCTGCATTACACCACCAGCTCCACAGGAGAGAGATAGGCAGTCTCCTGTCATGTGATATACTGCCTCTGAAAACACACTGGAGGGTCATCTGTGAGTCTGCTGCAGTTTAACAGTACATAGAAAATAAAAATTGACTCTAAAACTTCAAACTAAGGAGCTAAATTCCATGAGGTGTTTGTCTGTGTATGTAAGTTGTTTCGGTATTTAATCAAATTATGTGTGTGCATATGTCTTCTCATATTCTTTTGAGTACACTCTGTGTGGCGGTCTGTGTCTATTTGTATGAATACCTTCACCGGGCATATAGTTTGATGCATAATAAATATTGAGTTATTCTCAAAAATTAAGGGTTTAAAATCAGGTGTCTTAAATAACTGAACCACTTTGTTAAGTTTTTGACAATATAGCTGAATACGAAATATGTGAAGGCTAAATTGATTTTTACTAATATAAGTTTGGAAATAATTCACTGAGGTTTGAACTGTTCACAAGTCCTGGAAGATCTATTTTGGAGTATACTTTTTTTGGTCTCTCCAGTCCACAATCCCATTCTGTCTTTGAATTAATCATTCACATCATTGTCTGTGCCCATGACCTCTATTCAAGAATTCTAAGGATTTTAATTGTGTACTTTGTAGTCACTAAAAGAAACTTTCTTTTTGAGAGAAAATTCTGATCATCCTCTGTATTCTTGTTACCTTAACCTCTGTTAGGAAACAGAGTAAATCTCTTTTTATGCAAAAACCACAACTTTCCTTGATTTGAAATCTAACAACTAAGAATACCAGAGTCTTGACATTCAGTAGCTTGGACTTGTGTGGACTGTTAATCCTACTCTAGGGAGAAATAAAAAATGTAAAGTACTTAGTATTTGGCAGTTTTGAAGCAACTGTTAAATCTTGCCACATGCAATCATTTTTTCCAAACTTTAGTACTAGGCAATCTTTTTCCTCTTGAAAGCCATACTGTAAATTTTTTATTTTAATAGACTCATATGGCTTTTAGACAAATAGAATAATTATTGTGTCAAACTCCTTTAATTTTTAAAATAGAATACTGTGTTTAAGGTGACCCTTTTGGTTTTGCTAAGAATATTAAAGTGTAATATTAAGGAAATTCAGGCCTCTAGTATAGTTTCATATACTGACTAGCCTTTTTAATGAGCTATTTAATGAATGTTTTAAATGGTAGTTTTTTTAATTTGTCAGGTAATAGATAAATTTATAACCTGTTTTAAAGAATCCTTTGTGTGTTTCTTTAAAACATAAGCATTCTCGCATAATTTAAGCAGAAGTTACCAAAATTAGAAGATGAATATTGGTGCATTGTTCTTTTGGTTAAAGAGGTTGTTCATGGTTCACCGTTAAACCAGTGCCAAAGAGAGCATTTAGTATTTTTAGTAAGACCAAAATGACTGAAAATGACATGATTGACACTCACACAGAAGACTTGTTTTGCATGACAGCACAAGCTTCAAGCATTAGAGTCAGGGCTGTCTTCTAGAACCTTTAAGCCAATACCTTATTTTTGGGGATGAGCAGTAAGTGAGGGAATCTGAGTCCTTGAGAGACTCTATCATTTTACACATCAGTGCAATATCATTTTTGGCCATAGAAATCCAGGGACTTGCAGTCCACTTCTCTTATATTTGTAATACCATCTTTTTAGGAAGTGCCACTGTGTTTTTGTAGTTAAAAGAATGAATGAATGAATGAATGAATGGAAATCCAAAATCTCTGTAAATGCTTATGAAAATTAATTTTAAAAAAATTTTAAAAAAGAATGAAAAGAAATACCAGAATTTAAGGTGATATCATTCTTTGGTGTTTTATGTCTTAATAAATATTTTTACTTTTATATTAATGGAAACTTTTTCATTTATGTTTTTTAAAACCTTTCCCCCCCTTTTACTTTCAATAATTTTAATGAAAGTTTACAGAGACTTTGGATTTCCATTCATTCATTGTTGTACTTTTCTTCCTGCCCACCCCTCCGCCCCCAATTCACTTTTCTCTTTGAAAAGTAAAAGAAAAAATCTTTCATTGTTACACAATCCCTTCCCCCCCCAAGTCCACTCCACTATGCAGCGTTTATTCTGGACTCCTGTCATGGCAGTAATACCCAATCATATATCCCTTTTAAACAGTTCTCTCCCTCACCTGTTTCAATTCAGTATATATTATTTATCCCCCTCTTTCTCAGTCTCTCCTCAACCCCGATGTCGGTCCATTTTACAACAGTGGCACTATGCAATATTTGTCCTTTTGTGACTGAGATATTTCACTCTACATAATGTCCTCCAGGGTCAGCCATTTTGTATAAGATTTTGTGAATTCCTTGTTTTTCAATGCAGCATTTTTTGAGATATTAAATAAGAATTTTTTCCAATCCTGTGTGGAATATTTCTCCCTTTGTTCTTAAATTTGATAATACAAGTAATCCTAA